CGACTAAGCCGTTCGTAGGTTACACGACATACCCATTTGTCAAGCGACTGACTCGCCGTTTCGCCCGTGTCAATAGAATTAAAAAAATTGAAGATGCAATTTTATATCGTGTGACTAAATTTGTTAATTAGCCAATCAAATCAAAGAAATTAGTATGAGTTAAAACTGCTCGATACGTAAGTATCGAGGCAGTGTTTGTCTCGAATCAACTCAGATTTGATCTATTAAATGATTCACTTATTAAGTTGTTTTTTTAAAAATTTTCAAAATCAACTAGTTGGAAAGTTGTCAACTAGTTGATTTTTCAACTAACAATTTGGATCACTAACGTAGGGTTTAGAGAAAGGCATTTTTTATACTAAGTTTTACAAGAACCTTACAAGTAGCTTTATTAATAAAAAAGGTTTGAGAAATACATCGGATATATGAACATAGTGTACAAATAGAAATTATCAATTTTTTATATGTATTAAATTTTATTAAGAATGTTCTGAAAGTCACAAAACAACACCTTTTTTTAGCCCCTTTTTTAGTTACTTACTATTACGTATACGAGGGCTTCATAGTAAGGTTGTACATGAGTACTCTGGAAGTTTACACTTCGATTATGATTTACAACATTGTGTTGTCAATTACAATTATAAATAAAGGCAACCGGCTTTACCGATTGTTGGCCCTAAAGATGGCCTTTTGTCATACTAAACACTAAGCAAATCATTGCTAAATAAAAACCACTCCAGTGTAAACAACTTAAAAAAATTTCGTTATCTGTCAAAGATCGGTGTAACATAAAATATATAATCAAAGCCAAAATACCCAAATCCTAACGTTAACCTTAACGCTGATTGCGAAATTTTTTAGGCTAGTGACAGGGGAAGGGTCTTTAAAAAAAAAAATTCATAAGATCTGTGCAGTGTATCAAAACGGCATACGTATTAATTTAGGTAAAAATTCGATTTTGTTATAATTTTTGTAAACATAATAAAAATTCAAAAAATAGATGCGTGACATATATGACACATAATAAATCTTACGGAATTAATTTTCAATCTGTGCACCGTAGATTCTGCATGTAGATTTTAAAAAGAATCATAAACATTCACTCAGCACACTAACAAAAATTTTTCTTTACGAAAATTTAATATAAAGATCACTCCTTCTACAATAATCAATACAGGATAATTTTACGTAAGAATATATATATATATTCAGAATTAATAGTAAAGCATAATTTGGAACAAAGTAATATAAATCTGACCAGCTGGTATATAGTCAAGAAATTTTGAGAAAAATAGTTAACCAACATAAGAGGCGCTAGAATTTCTTAGTAAGGATAATCTTTCTGAAAGATGGATCCAACATCTTCCTGTTATTATTGTAGTCGAAAGGTGGTCAGTTATCCCAAAAAATTATCCAAAAAATTATGTAGATCCAATACACTCTCTAATAAACCGCCTTTATTATGTGGAAACAAAGATATCGACACATTTATTCAAGACACAAAGTCTAGAAAACAACATTGCGACGATTTCGTTGAGTGGATACCTTATTCGGATATCAATATAGATAAGACTTCAATTGCAAAAGGACTTTATTCGGAAATATTTGTTGGTAAATGGGAACCATTAAAACAAGGTGAAGTTGTCAATCATAAGGAATCAACAAATATTGATATTGTTCTTAAAGTTTTGGCGGAATCTAAAAATTCTAAACCAGAATTTCTTAAAGAAGTAATTATAAGCATC